GGCCGGGGCGACCTACAGAGGCTACGCCCGAGCGCGGGACCCTTCCCCACCCGAGACCTCCGCGCTGCGTCCTTCGGGTCTGGACAGCAGGCGTCATTGACCAAGTTATGAGATGGGGAAACTGAGGTCGGGGCAGCAGCCATACCGGGCACTATATAGATCATCTTCCTCACATTTAGGGGAAGGAGGACGGGAGCAGCCTGGGCAGCCTTTGGGCGCAGGTACAGTGGGAGGGGAGGTTGGAGATGTGCGGGCTGCGCGGCATGGGGGCCGGGGGCTTAAGGAAGAGAAAGTGGGTCATTGTCTCCGGGAGAGAAAGGTTTAAGACGCCCTAGTTTTTGTCCTCACCTCCAGCTGTGAAAATGCCCACAGCGCCAGGCGGCAGGAGGAAGACAAAGACTGTGACATCAGCGGTCAGTGTGTCCCTTGCTGGAGGGGTGACACAGAGGGCATCCCTAGGGCAGGACTGAATTCTGTGCTGTGCTGGGCAGGATTGGGAAGAGCAGAAGGACATGGACACCCTGCCCAGAGAGGCAAGCAACAGGATCCACCCTCCACTGTGGGCCTTGACCCCCTCCCTGGATCTGGGCTGTAGAGTTGATTTGGCCTGGGGTCGGGACTCTGTGTACTCGGGCTGGGGTCCAGCTTCTGGGGACTCGGGCTGGGGTCCAGACTGCTACAGACCCATTGTGAGGCCCCAAGAGGCCTTCTATCTGTAAAGCATCGCCCTCTGGAACATCCCTCTGGGACTCTGCAGAAGTCCTTGAGACCAGAGAGTCCTGGAGGTCCTGTGGGGTGCTGAAGCTCTCTTCCAGGTGGTGAGTGGGTGTGAGTGGGGCAGGCACAGCATTGCAGTGAAGTGGATGGTAGGGTATTCAGGGACCCAGGCAAAGTGCCTGTCTGGCTCTTCCCACACAGGTGTCTGCTTCACCAGCTTGAAAATCCTAGGCCACAGCCTGTGGGAGGGCAGGTGGCAGGCTCAGGGAGGGACAGGAAGCTGGGCCAGGCAGGAAGCTGATCTGATGTGTGGCAGCCCAAACCGTCTTAAGGTGTGGGACCCCTCTGGACTGGAGAGTGGGCCAGTCTTCTTTTTTTTTTAGACATGGTCTTACTATATAGTCAGCTCACTGTGTAGCCCAGCTTGGGTTTTGATGTAGGGGAATCCTGCCTCAGGCTCCCAAGTGCTGAGATTACAGCTGTGGGCCACCATATCTGGCAGAGTAGCCCTTTTGAAGATGTTATTCCAGTAGTGTGCAGTGGGAAGAGAGAGCAAGACAATTAATCCCAGTTGGCACCTGTAGTCCCAACCAGTCAGAAGACTGAGGCAGGAGGGTCTCCTGAGCTTGGGAGTTCCAAACCAGCCTGGGCAATATGGTGAGACCCCTTCTCAAAGAAACAAATAAGGGGCTGGGGAGATGGCTTAGTAGAATAAGCGCTTCCCTGGCAAGCGCAGGCTCCTGAGTTCAATTCCCAGTATCACACACACACACGAAAAATTCCAGCCCCCAGGAGGGTGAGGCTGGAGGATGATCATGAGTTCAAGGCCAGCCTGAAATATATATATACAGTGAGCCTCTGTCTCAAAAAACCAAGAACAAAATGAAAAGCCACAAATCCAAAATGAGGTTTCGTGGGGCTGGGGAGATGGCTCAGTGGAATAAGCGCTTCCCTGACAAGGGCAAGGGCCTGAGTTCAATCCCTGGTTCCACAAAATAAATAAATAAATAAATAAAATAAAAATAAAAATAAATAAACAAATAAATAAATAAACGAGGTCTCAGGGCCAGGAAAATAGCTCAGTAGCATAATCACCTTGAGCGGGCCAGATAGTTCAGGGGACTAAAGCGCCCGCTTAGGCAGAGCGGGAGGAGCTGGGGTTCAATCTCCACCAGGCCAAGCTGGCCCTGCCCCCAGGGCACACTGCGATGGCAATTGAGACTGGGCATGGTGGCACGCGCCTGTAATCCCAGTTCTTGGGAGACTGAAAACAGGAGGATCACTATGAATCCGATCTACGTAGTGAGACCCTGTATCAAATACATAAAAAGAGAAAGAAAGAAAGAAAGAAAGAAAGAGAGAGAGAGAGAGAGAGAGAGAGAGAGAGATCAAATAAGTGCCTGCCCTGCAAGTGCAAGGTCCTGAGTTCCATCTCTGGTACCAGAAAAAAAAAAAGGTCTGACTGGAGCAGAGATGGCTGTGGGGCAGCAGACGGCACAGGAGTTGTTGGGAAGGCAAGGAGACCCTGAAGGGATAGGAAAAGGTCCTGCCAGGAGCCGGTGGGTGTGGGGGCAGTGTGAGGTGTAGGACCTGGCACCAGAGGCAAAGGTGGGAGCAGAAGGCAGCGGGGATCAGAGCATGGAACCCCTGGCGTGGTTGTGTTCACACATGCAGGCACTCTATAGTATACTCACAGTGGTTTTAACAATGTGGTGGACGTCTGCCCATACTCCCAAGCCTACCCGGAGGTCACCTAGGTGACCTGCACACATCTCCTGAACCTGCCCTTGCTTCCTGGGTGTTTCAGTGAGCTTCCCCAACTCAGAGTTTAAAGGGGGTAAGGTTGGTTTGGGCTCCTGATTACAGCAGGTTCAGTCCATAGTTTACCAGCTCCGAGCAGAAGTAGCATGGTGGAAGGGCCTGGCTAGGAAAAGCTGCTGGGCTCAGAGCAGCCAGCAAGCAGTGAGGGGAGCGGGGCATGGAAGGATGAGTGCACGCTTCCTGGTCACATTCCCGGTGACCACCTCCAACCAGGCCCCACTTTTTTGTGTGTGGTACCAGAAATTGAACTCAGGACCTTATGCTTGCCAGGCAGGCGCTTCTGCTGCTGAGCTATCTCCCCAGCTTGAGGCCCCACTTTTGAGCCTGAGACATTGGGAAGACATTATACCTCTGACTCCTAAAAAGCTCGCATCTACCTCATTATATAAACTGCCTTTAGTCCCTAAGAATTGCCAAAGTCTTAACACTTTCAGCATTGCTGATAAGTTCATCCAAAATCTCCTCTGAGAATTGAGGCAAGCTGTCATCCTGGAAAAATCAAAAAGAAAGTTGAATAGTGTCACTACAATGACACAATGTAATTATTCCCATTCCAAAATGGAGAAATAGAGGGATAAGAGGATTGAGACCACCCATAATCTCAATCTCAGGACATGGGCAAAATGTAAACAAAGATTTTGCAGATGTATAATGATGCAGCCAGCCTTTAGTCCACTGCCAATGGGTCCTTGTTCCCAGCGGAAGCCTCCTGAGCCTGGTCTTTACTGCCTATATTCTAGTTTTCTTTTCTTTTCTTTTTTAAATTTTATTTATTTGTGTGTGTGTGTGTGTGTGTGTGGCCAGCTCAGCCCACCAGGGGGCGGGGCTGGCTGGCCTGTGGTGCTGGGGGATTGAACCGCGGTCCCTGTGCTTTGCTTAGCTTGTTCTAAGTAGGTGCTTTTTT